GTCGTTGCGCTGGAACCCCCATCCCCTATACTACTAGACAGAAACATGAAAAAGTGAATAATCCAAATCTCAAACCAAATATTGCCTACCTTGACTAGTTTTTCAGCACCCTCACAGGTAATCTTATTGAAGCACAAGTTTAACGTGACAAGGGACTTGTTTGTTGTCAGAGCATTCCCAATCATCTTTGCTCCCATGTTATTGATATAACAGTTACGTAATGAGAGATGCTGTATTCTAAACATGTCATGAAAATGAAAAAGACAGTTAGAAATTCTATTCTCTAATTCAAAGCGATATTTAATGGTCACAAGATCTAGCAGCACTTAGTGCACGCAGATGGCGTCAGCTCTGCTCAATCATTAAGCACAGTTTTTGACCAATCAGTGCGTGTGTACTATCCTAACTATATAATAACTATAAGTAATAAACTAAACTCTCCACTCATAAATGGTGCAATTGCTTCTCGATTTTTTTCCTTCCTTCATTCATTCATTCATTACTATCCATCCATCCCATCCATCTGTCCTTGCATTCATTCTATTGACAACTCTTAAAACTCCAGTGCAACCTGGCTTTGCCAGCTTGAGTCCAGGAGTAGCTTGTTTTCTCCTTCATCTATTCATTCATTCATTACTATCCATCCATCCCATCCATCCCATCTCATCCATCCCATCCGTCTGTCCTTCCATTCATGCTATTGACAACTCTTAAAACTCCAGTACAACCAGGCTTTGCCAGCTCGAGTCCAGGAGTAGCTTGTTTTGTTATTTCTAATTTCTGCTTCTGTTTACAGACTTCAGAAGTGAGGTTTAAAGAGCACATACACTGGGAGTTTTTAAATGAGTCCTCATTTTTTGACGTTAAGACACATTGCTCGTTCATCATCCATGCACTCCTACTGCAAATATCCTATTTGTTATCACTTCTGTATATTTTTCTCTTAACAAGATAATCTCTAAAAAGGATCAGATTCCTTTATAATATCAGGCATCCCAGCCACTTTTTAGACAAATTTGATAGGAAATATAGGCTGTGCAAGTTCTAAATATAGGAAAATATAGGATTTTTTCCCAAAAATATATGCACTTTATAGGAGCTAAAATAGCTTTTCGGTGGCATATAACCAGGGATAGGGAGGGTGCACAGGCAATGATTTGCAGAACTAAAAAGCCATAAAAATTTACAAAAAACAAAAAAAAGGGGCCATTTTATTTCCTTCGCCAAATATGCTAAACAGTGTAAAATATAAATGTATCAATCAGCAGTCGTCCTATTTATAGGAAATATAGGAGGTTTTCTTTAAATATAGGCTCTTTATAGGATCCTATACAAATTATAGGAAATATAGGATATATAGGAGGTCTGGGATGCCTGTAATATTCTATAATTATAGCTAACTCACTTGCTTTCTTCTCCCAGTAGGACTCCATATCTCTGTAATGTAAGCGGGTTATTATCCAGACACAAGGTTCTATAAGAAAATATCAACACTCAGCTTGAACAGGTCAATATCAATATAAGGACATTAGTAAGGGCAGACTGGAGTATATTTTTTTACGCAGCTTTCCAAATTATTTACTTTTTTTTTTTGACTTGAGAGAGAGTTTCGTCTGATATCATGATATAGTTACCAAGATGTTGGTTGATAAAGTAATAACCCAGTGCGTTAGGGTATATTGAAGAAATAGAAAACACGCGTGCGTGCTGTATGCTGTCATAAAGCACTTGGGGGTTGGCAGAACACGAGAGAAGTGTTAGGAGAAGCACGACGCGTAGTGGAGTGCTTCTGGACACTTTTCGAGTGTTCTGCCAATCCCCAAGTGCTTTATGACTGCACACAGGACATCAAGCAAGTTTTTTATTTCTTTTATAAAATACAAATTACAATAACAGATAACGGAAAGAGCGTGCGCGTGCAATGTGCTCTCATAAAGCATGCGCTCCAAACCAATCAGAAYGCGACATTCATAACAGTTATTTTATAAAGAGGATTTGCTGTCATTTATGTGTGTTTATCATAAATAACTTCTAAGCATGTAATCTTAATATCTGGAATCAGAATTGGAAAAACTATCAAATAAATAATACTTCAAAAGCCATCAGTATCCAGAATAGGATCTGATGCACACACTCAGGCTCACACTCTTTTAACTTAAATAGGGTTATTACCTTAAGTTTGGTAAGTTCTGTACTGCATTAGCTAGGATGTTTAGACTGCTGTCTGTAAGACAGTTATTCCACATGCTAAAGTAAATATAAAACCATCATTAGATTATTACTAGATAAATAATGGAATCAATAAAGTTACTATAATAGTACCAGAAAGACTTTTTCCACACAGAGTTCAAGAATGTTTTCCAAATTTTAGGCCTTAGATATCATTCACGTTGTTATAGAATACGGCTTATCAAACAGGAATGGTAAAGGGTGTTTGCGTTAAACCTAGGTCATGATATTTTTATAAATTTTAAGATCTGTGACAAGGAAAAATTATTTTCCTTATTTCATGATAGCATACTTGTTCTAAAATTTGTGAAAGGTGAATGTTCATTGTTAATTTTTGTGAACAATTATAATACTAGTCCTTTTCTTATTCTCATGAAGCATGCAAAAACTCCTCCAACTGTGACGGAGGACTCTCTTTCCAAAATAACTAATGAAGAATAGAAAACCTGTGGGTGTGCTGTGTGCAGTCATAATTAAAGCACGTAGGGTTGGCAGAAACACAGGAGAAGCACGACGTATAGGGGAATGCTTCTCGACACTTCTCGAGAGTTCTTTATAACTGCACACAGCACAGCAGGCAAGTTTTTTATTTCTTTTATGAAAAATACAAATTACAATAATCTTTTTTGGATGGAAATGATGCAACTGAAAGTGTGCGCATGTGCTGTGTGCTCTCATTAAGCATGGGCTCCCAACCAATCAGAATGTGACATTTAAAACAGTCATTTTATAATAAATAATAGTTGTAAAAAAGGGGGGAAACCCCAAAGGAATTATAATAAATGGAATAACTTTGAATGGAATAATCTAAAAATAATATTTCAATAGTAAATAGTTTTTACCATTTCTTAGGTATTACTTTTTAAACCAAACCATAAAATTAATGCCTTAAGACTTACTCTAATTTAGTGAGTTTTTCCAGGGGTGGGAGGGTAACTGTGAGTATCTCAAGAATTCTGTCATCTATCTTCCAGCCTAAGAAAGAAGTAACATTTTAAGGAATCAATGAATTTCTGAGGCAAAGCAGACAAATATATGCATGCAATATGTATCACAAATAATAACCAATGGTTGGATGGGTGTTAGATCAGGCTCATAAGGAATGCAAGGATGGGATAGAATGGATGGATGGATGGAGGGACAAATGCAGGGATGCATAATAAGGATGATGTATGCAGAGATGGATGTTAAATAAGGATGGATGGATGCAGGGATGGATGTTGAATAAGGATGGATGGATGCAGGGATGGGATGCATGGATGGATAAATGGAGGAAAGGAATGGAATGAATGGATGGATGCATAATAAGGATGGCTGGATTGATGAATGGTGCAGGGAAAATGGATGGTATAGGATAAATTTAATGTGCATAATAAGGATGGATGGATGCAGGGATGGGATGGGATGGAATGAATGGATGCATAATGATGGGTGGATGGATGGATGGTGCAGGGTAAATGGATGGTATAGGATGTAAATGTGCATAATAAGGATGGATGGATGTAGGTATGGGATGGAATGAATGGATGCATAATAAGGATGGATGGATGGATGAATGGATGGATAAATGTGCATAATAAGGATGGATGGATGCAGGGATTGGATAGGAGGAATGGATGCATAACAAGGATGATGGACGCATGAATGCAGGGATGGGATGGGATGCATAGATGCAAGACAATGATCGATGGATGTAGGGATGCGATGAGATAGAATGGGATTGGATGGATGGATGCAAAGATGGGAAAGGATACAGTTTATATTGTGGATAGAAGACAGATGGTCTAATTACCTCTCATATAAATCTCCTTAACATGGGATTTATTTCCCTCTTCTTCTAGCTCCACTTCAACCCTTGGTTTAAAGTAGGTGTATTTGTCTTTAACAGTGTATGTCGCTGGTGGAGGTTCCTCTGGTTCTCCTGTTGAGGTGCCTTCCTCTTGTTTGACTAACTCTTCCTTAACTAAATTGAACAATGAGCAGTCAATCCACATGATAATACAAGAGGAAAACATGATTATACACTATCCTTATGATTGTAATTATAGATCAACGTCTTTCCCAATAATTGCTGAGTCTTAAAGTGCAAATGAACCCTTCGACAGCACTTTTAGTGGTATCCGGTCTTTTCGCTACCTTGCACTTTCGCTACTTACCTAAAAGGTCGATTCACTACTTAATAGAAGTTGATTCGCTACTAATAGAAGTCGATTTGCTACCTTATCTCAAAATGTTAAATATCACAAATCAGGAATATATATTACATATATATATTAATTTTGAGTCTATGTCGATAAATTTAAATTGTGTTTTATGGCATCGAAACTTATAAATTTTCTGGTCAGATGTCGATCAAGAAATCTAAACCTAGCTGAGAGGATATTTACATCTCCTCATTTACGTGCGAGTTAACGACGACTAATAGAATCTTGCGTTCAATGAATAACTTTTCTGACAAATAAAAAGTTTTAGTTACAAAGAAGAAATCTAGTTGAGTTTTTCAGAGTTATTTTGGCTGGCTTAGTAGCAAAGTAGCGATTGGACTCTCGGCGTTGTGTGACAACAAASAAATCGAAAGCTATGAGAAACGAAGGCTTATTTTTATTCCCGCTTTTGCTCGATGACTAAAAGTTTGACTTTAAAATAGAAGGGTTTATGTCAAGGAAGAGTTTTAGCTACAAAACAAGCAATCTAGTGGGGTTTTTTAGGGACGTAAAAGAACCACTGACTGAGGATGTAAAAAGAAACCCTGGTAGTGACCGCCCTCAGTGCCTAACCACCCCTCGTTCTGTGAAGCACCTTTGAACATATACATATGGTAAAAGAGCACTATATAAATATATGTAATTATTTTTTTAATATATCGTTACCTTGATATTTCATAACTTATTAATTAACGCACCTTATATCAATATGGAAATGGAAGCTATATACCATAAATCATGTACAGACTGTGAAAACATTTAATTGATTCATGTATATTACTGTAATAGCAATGCCAGCAATCAAAACTGAGACAATTTAATTAAGGGATTTTTTATTATAATGTTATAAGTTAAAGTGAGGCATTTACCAAAGATTCTCTTGGCACACCGGGGGGTGGTCCCCTATATTTGCTATACGGGTACATGCCGCCAAACAGGGTATGGTTTTCAGCGATTCTACTCTGGAACATGCAGGGCATATAAAATCCTGCTCGCTCTGGAACAGGTTATATGAAATCACGCTCTCTCCTCTCTGGAACAGGGTCTTCAGCAATCTCGTTCTGGAACAGGGTATGAATTTCAGCGAGTTTTACTCTGGAACAGGGTCAGGGTTCAGAGGGCTCAGCGGCACGTCCCTATCCTAAACAGGCAAGAGTACCCCCCCCTGGGCTTGGCACCTTTAAATATACCCATGAAATATTTCTAGCCACTTGGCAAATATTTGAAAAATCTTTTATAAGTTACTCACTAGACAATTAGAAGGATTATAATTCTTGATAATATTATATAATAATATTAATTGATATGACTACATCTTTTAAGTATCATCACTTATGCTTATAATACATACCCCCGCTCTTGTCCTTGTCACCTTTTCCAGTAACTGGGGCAGGTTCAGGTGGAGTAGGGGTTGGTGTTGGTGGACGGTGAGGGCGTGGCACTACCTGCATGGTAGGGAACCCTGCACGGATTGCTAACTCACAGAAATCTGCTTCAAAATTGCCTGTTGGTGTGTATGGCTCTGTGGAATATAAAGATTCAGGCTGCAATGGTTTAAGGAAAGCAAGAATGACAGAGATAGAGAAAGAAAACAAAGAAAGTATTTTTAAAATGAATGAGAAAATTAGTGACCTATAAATGGCTTCAATAAGGGATCAACACTCAGATTTATTGGTTGTAAGATTAGAATTTTTATGGTGTAAATCAAAAATAATCAGTCGGTACATTTTACATCTTTAAATGGCAGTAGTACAGAAACCAAATTCCTACGGGCAACTCACAACTACTGAGTTTGCATAATATTAAGAATCAAAGTCAGAAACAGTGTATAAGTGGAAACAGATGACAGACTGGAGTGCAATGTCATTGCTTCATGCATGTGGCAAGGTGTTTTAATTACTAGCCTTCCTACAAAACTTTGAATCATAGCCAAAAGAGAAGATAATCTTCAGACTAGCTACCTGGTTGAACATCCAAACTTTCATCTTCATTATCAATAGAGCTAGTTTCCTCTGACTCAATGGATTCCTTGATTGTCTCCATCATTTGCAACTATATGATATATTTCTTTACAGTCAGGTATATATATATATATACTCGAACCAAAATTAATTAATTATACTACCTTAATAACAAATTTACATATTTGAAATAGCTAAGTACATCTAAACATTTATAACCGCACTTTCTTATGTATCCAAGGAATTCATTAATCTTAAGTGCTGCAGTAACTTGTATTGGCAGAAAAAAAATTTTTTGCACTAAAATTTGAATTCATGTGTCAATGGCATATTAAATATACTGTTATTTAATACAATATAGTAAGACAAGTACTCTAAATTATCAAATCAGGAACAAACTGACAGAAAGAATTACTCAGATAATTATGAAATAATTACTCAAGCTATGAATTGATAAAAATAAAATCAATATTTTATATGATTTTTTAAAGTCAAAATCTAACTTCTGCTATTATGGCAAAATGTAACCCTTATGCTTCAACATGTATTTAGATTGAGAGCCAATTTAAAGAGATTATAAATCTGAAAATATAAGTAACATGATTTTTTCTCCATAAAACACAATTTAAAACAATGAAGCACAGACAGTTATCAGCTGATTGAAGTTAAGCAAGTCATATAGATTTGATTATTAGAGAGTCAAACACCAAGATTTTAAGAACAGATTTGTTAAAGCTTAATTATGTGAATCGTTATAACACTTAGCTGTTGTTTTTAAATGGAGCAGAGAAGACTCGTCTGTAGAATTGAGTATCCTCAATTAGGTTATAAAAATACTTCGGAATGATGAATAATTAAGTAGTTAAAAATTGAAGTTTTTGTAAGAAATTACACAAGAAGTCATAACAGGAATAAGTAACTGAGAGCTGGTTGCTGTAGGAGGTGACCTGAGACTTCAAATGGCTGGTGAAATTTGAATATAAACACAAAGCCATCAAAGGAATTTAAAAATAACTTATTCAAAAAAGATTTCTATTTATCTGACATTGAAATAATCCTTTAATTGGAATGCTTTTACTTTAAAGAGTTAGAGGAGCTATTTGTTATGACAATAGTATAGTGATCCTAATTAATTCCAAGCTCATTCAGAACATCATTTGATTGAATCCACTTCAATAAATACGGATGTTTTAGAACAATAGGTTTTCATTGTTTTTACATTATTCATTGTCCTGTTAAATTGAATAATGAGCCATAAAGCACTTAACAAATATTATATCACTGCTGTCAATCTGTAGGATAACCAGTGCAAAGGCCTTCCTATATGTTCCTTCAAAATAATATATAAATGGCATTCTCAAGAGGTTGGGGAGGATGGGGGGG